TTTTTTTTAACATAATCAAATTTTGAATCCTGTTAGCATTAAATGTGTTTAAGAAATGTACTACAAATTTAAAGGGAAAAGACGAAAACAGCTTTCAAAATCCCGCTGTGACTGACTGACAGTGTCATCTACGGTGGGAAAAGTATTGAGTGGGGTACCCTTTCCCCTCCCCAAAATACCACGCAACAAGTCCTAACATTGTCGTCTTCCTCCCCTTCACACATGATCAAAATCCACTTCAAATTCCATCCCAAGAGTGAATTTAACTAATATTTTTTGGAAATTTAGCGAATTTGTTGTTGCCTAATTTCCCAAGAAAATAATAAAAAAAAAACTTAACACTATTTATGGATTTTAAAGATAAAGACAACTCACTATTCTCAAAATACAAAAGAAAAAAGCATTTTTTCTTCTTCCAAATATATATTACTTCTCTATTTAATGTTGTCTTCCCTGCCCCACCCTACGTGCCAACCACCAAGATAAGAAAATGGGAAAAATATTATTTTTCCCACTATAAAAGGGACCTTAAACCCTTCATTTTCTCCCCATAGAAAACACACCAAGAGCCCTCCTAAGAAAAGAAGAGTTTTTTTCTGCACAATATATGGCGAACCATCTTTTGTCATTCTTCTTGTGCTTTTTCCTTTTCTTCTTTTCAAGCTCTTCTTCTTCGGAGGTTCAAAGGGTGCCGGCGATTTTTGTCATCGGAGACTCCCAGGTGGATGTAGGCAACAACAATTACCTTCCCGTTTCTTTTGCTAAAGCAAATTTCCCACCCAACGGCATCGATTTCCCCAGCAAAGAAGCCACCGGACGGTTCTCCAATGGCAAAAACGCAGCCGATTTTCTATGTAAGTGTTGATATATGTATGGTTTCATCATCACAATTTCACAAACTAAGTTCTATTGCACATTTCAAATCTTTGACATTAGAACCCATAATTAAACCGGAATTCTCAGTTATAAACTTACAAATATATACCGCCATGCATTAACTTCTCTTTTTTTTTTTCTCTTAATCTTTTGCTTTAGTTTGTTCAATTTGAAAACTTGCACCATACAGTACTCAATATAGAACCGCCATGATATAACAGCTACTAAAATTTTTTAACATATAATGAAAGTAATTACTAACACGTTTCATTTTAATCACTCGAGTTTGCGTGATACTCCGTATGATGTGATTTCGTTCTTTATGAAATTGTCTTTTTGTTTAACAGCTCCTCCATGAAATATCTAGTTGTCGCTCGCTCATCATGCACCTTATTATATGATATATATTTTCAATTGAGAATCTTGTTTAGCTTATGAATTGTAAAATATAATTTAATGGATTAGAGACTTCTTTTAATATAAGGATCCTTTTTTATTTAATAATTTATATTGTAAAATTTAATATAATATAAATTATATAACACTTTTATTATTTTCAATAAGAAAAATGATGTGTGCACATCGGGTCTGCTCATGCTGGGTTACCAACAGCAGAACCCAGATGCTGGGTTCTGCTGATGCTGGGTTTTGCTGGCTGGGAGAAAAAATGAAAAAAAAAAAAAAAGAGGAAGAAGGGAAGGTCGGGTTCTGCTCGGGAAAAAACAAAAAAAAAGAGGAAGAAAGTGGAAAGGGTAAATTTGTAATTACGCTTTTAAAATCTTTTGATTATTTTTGATTATGTGGAGTGTGCACACCCGAGTGTTGAATCCGGGTGTGCACCAATCATGGTCCTTTCATAAATGATCTTTTATTTACAAGAAAATAATATTTAAAAATAAAACTATGGTTGAGTGGT